TACACTTTAATCAGGTGTCACATGCTTTTAAACCTGCCTGTTGTGCATCTAATAAAGCCAAGGAGTGATCTTCTGATCCCTGAACAACTGACCATTAATATAAAGTTTGTCAACTGCTACTGTAGCTCTGACGCCTTCACTGATGTATTTCTTCCTGATTGGGAATAACGCTCGCCTGCGATCTAATATTTCCTTTGGATACTGGTCATTGACGCTGAAATCTGTTCCTCTCAGCTCTCTGCCCTGACTCCTGACCTGCTCTTTCTGCTTGTAATGCTCAAACTTAGCTACAATTGGTCTAGGACGGGATTTATCAGGCTTCTTACCTCCGAGCCGGTGAACGCGATGGAAGGTGATGTTTTTTACCTGGTCCGCCGGGATTTTCAGCTTCTTCTGGAGGAACTCACGTACTATCGCCTCAGGGTCCTCGTCCTGCTGTTCAACGATTCCAGCGAAGACGAGATTGTCTCTCATGCTCCGCGACTGAATGTCCAGAATGGATTCCTTCATCTTTCTATTTTCGATTGACAGCTGGATCATCCCCTCGGCGAGTTTGGTGACTTCCCCCTTCAGCGCTTCATTCTCGGCGGTGACGGAGGCCAGCTGAGCTTGGCTGAATTCCAGCGACTCTCTCAAAGCTTGAAACTCCTTATGCAGGACTTCTACCAGGGCAAGGCGGGCGTCCAAGCTAGTTAGCTTTTTGTCGATGGATTCCAGGACGTCGCTGTAGCTCCTGTCTGGAGACAAAGTAGATGTAGAAGCAGCACTGGTTGAACTAGACCGACATCGTTTGGAAGACGGTGTGTTCGTGGATGTGGGATTCTTCGGCTTCCCCATTACGATGTTGTCAAAACACTCGTCCAGGTAGCTCTCCAGGCTCGTCAAGGTCTCGTCTTCCAGTTTGTTCCCTTGGAAATACGGTACAATTGTCAAAGTTTAAATCTGCTTGTTTTATTTACATTTATTGGCTTACTTACCAGGACTGGAATTGTTTGTTTTGAATTACCTGTATGTCGCCATTTTTACTTACGCACACGCCCACAGCTCTCGCGAGATCTCAGCCGCTCATCCCACCACAGTTCTGAGAATGCATCTGTCAAGGTGTTAAATGACATCTGCATAAATGCAGATTCTGTAAGAACCAGTGACGTGCGGTCAGGGGAGGCAGGTGAGGCAGTGCCTCACCAGCCATCATGGAAAGAAAGAAAATATATAATCATAAAGTAATTTAAATTGTTATATTCATCCGGTGGTTTGTACTAAAAAATATTCATTTTTCATGTAGCTTCACCAATTTCGATTTTTATTTGTTCAAAATCGCTGAATTTTCTTATTTTCCCATTCAAATGCTTGGAAGCGATGCCGGTGAGGCAGCAGCGAGCTCTGCCTCACCTTGGATTGCGCAACCCCTGGCTCTGCGCTGGCTGCAAAGCGGAGAGAGCATGTTGCTGTACGGCGTCAATAAAATGGTTTAAACAAATGTAATATGTGAACTTATTTCTAATAATTTGGCTTATGTATATAATGTACAGAGCTTTTTGTCACCAACTGTGTTTGTGTAACGTGTTTCGTGTAATGAGCGATTATAAACGGCAGAGAACAAGTTCGAGGTGAGGCAGGCAGTTCTCTTGCCTCATGGCAGGGGGTGCTCAAGAGACTGAAAACATAAGGCAGGAACAGGACGGATCAAGGAAGGCTTTCTTCCCTGGCAGTGATCTCCATTGAGACAGAGAGACTTTTAAAACTGAAGGAAGATAAGGAGGACTTCTATTCATTTATAAGTAAAGGTAAGACAGTAATAACATTTATTTTGTTTTGTTTTTTAAGGAAATGTGTGTTTTGTGAGCTACAGTTTGTATGTGTAAGGATGCAGAAGTGAAACATAACCTGTAAACTGCTGTCAATCTATGCATCTATTTGCAAATCTGATTCTGATGACGTCAGTGCCTCACCAGCTATGAACCTCACCGCACGTCACTGGTAAGAACCACTGTGCTAGTGTTGTTCAACATCAATGCAGTATTGGACACTACTCTGTTCTATTACAGACTTTGGAAAACTGGGTTGTCCTTTTTGGTACAGCACATGACTGGTTTAAATGCAACAGTACGTCAAGGACAGGGACTTTTTTTTTCCGCAGTTAGTAACTTTTCATTAGAGACCACAAAATCACATGTCCCAAGAGTTCATCTTGGGGTAACATTCTATCTACTTGCTACCTCTAGTTCAGATTATAACACACAATTAGATAAGTTACTCTAACTATGGAGAGAACACACAGCTTTATATTAAAATGTCAACAGGTCACTGAGAACCCATTCATGCATTTTATAGCTGCACTGAAGAATTTGGCGCATGGTACTGCAAAACTTCCTCCAGCTAAATTAAAAATAAACCTCATGTATTAATTTTTGGATCAAAGAGGAAGAGATTAAGAGTCAGCACACTGCTACACTTACTTAATTAAGAAAGTGCTCATCTGGTCATAAATCTGAATATTCCCATTGACCGAACGAAATTTTCACAAGCACAGACAATAACAATATTAGCTTTCCATCACTTGGAAAACATCTCTCTGGATTAAAGGCCTCATTTTTGAGGAGGATCTCAAAAACCAATTCAGGCATTTATCCTTGGTCCAAGTTATACCTGAAATGGGGGATTTACAGGTCCACCAAGAAAGTTAATTAGACAACTCCAGGTGATCCAGAATGTTGCTTGCCGTATTCTCACTAAAACTATGAATGTAGTTCTATCCTTACAATGGCTGTTTGAATCTTTGAGAAAAGACGTTACCCCTGTTAGTATATAAACCACTGAATGGCTTTGCATATGTTACATGAGTTAAGTTGTTCTTTATAAACCAGCTGCCTAGAGGACTCTGGTGCTGTGGCTTAAGTCTATTCTGTGTATTAAGAACCAGATCCACGACATTGAGAAACAGCATTAGGTTTTTATTATCTACTTATCTGGAACAAACTCTGAAAAGATTATAATATTGCTGAAACCCTAATTTCATTTTAGATCAAGGTTAAAACCCTACAGTTGAATCAAAGGCAACTCCAGTTGACTTAACTGTGACATTTCAAACCAGTGTACATTTCTCTGTGTATTTTTGTTTTCTTAAGTTCTTTTCACATGCAGCACGTTTATTTTTATTTTTTTACAATATGTAGTACACTGAGGAATATAAATAACTGCCAAACATAAGAAAACAAACAAAAGGAGGCCTATAGAGCACACCTCAATGTAAGCCACATGTTTACACCCTTTTTTTTTTTTTTTTTTTTTACTAGAAACACCTGTCCCCTACCAAACCCTATAGGGGGAGTTCTACATATCACCCCTAGAGTAGGTCGAAGAAGATTGTTAGGTCCCGTTAGCTTGTTGACTCGCAGCAGTAAGAACTTAAATTATGGGTCTTCATCAGATCTTTACTTCAGTTCTTCATGTGTTGTTGCCTGCATGGTCGAATTCGTTCTCCATTTGTTCTCCATCATGTCCGCTGCTAGCATGTGCTTGTGCTAAATGAAAATTAGCCCCTTCTTATTTGATTTTCAACTTTGACTTTCACCCCCTGGTGGGTAGGAGAAAATTCACAAAAAGCCTAGTTCTGCTAGATCACTAGCCTGGGTGCCATTCCAAACTTAGTCCCGCCCACAACGTTTCAGGTCGGGAAGTTCAGTCTGGCATTGCTCAGTAGTAGCGCGAGTATGCTCGCACAATATCTGGCGGGCCAATCAAATTGTCAGGGCGGGCTTTATACGATGATGGACAGATGATCAACAGTAACATAATCAATCACGTGACCAAAGCGCGCATTGGTGACAACAGCAATGGCTGCCGCTGGAGAGTTTAGGTGAGTAGATTCTGCTATTAGGTCTGTTCTCGAAGATATTGACAGCAAATTAATTTTAAAAGAGGAACAGAGAAACGCGATCAAGGCTCATCTTCTAATTCTAGGCCTGCACGCTTTGATTTTTGTTGACAACAACTATGCCTCGCTTAACATACGTCACGCACTCCGTTGCTCTTATTGGTTGTAGGTCTATCCAATTAAGTGCAGAGGCATTTTTTTTTCTGGTTCGTTCGAAACACGCCCCATAATCACAGCTCTATGGAGCAGTATCAGACTCATATTCTGACTAGAATTGAGTAGGACTACGTCAGGCTACTAGATCACACCCCTGACCTACTAGATGAGAACTATATGTAAATCATTGTTAAAGCAAAACTGGAAGTAAAAGCAAATATATATATATTTGCTTCTGTGGCAGCTCATAAAATCATATTGATTTAGTATTATTTATTCAGTAGAGGAAACACTGGCCCCTGTTCGCCCTGCAGAGAACCGCTCATGGTGACTTGCTCTCATTAGTGATATCTGCAAAATAAGTTTGCTTTGTCAAAACTCTTTTTAGAGTTTCTGGTGAAGATTCTCAGTCATCCAGGTCATAGTCATTCCGTAAAAGTTTAAAAAACAATCCACTGGACTTGGTTTCCAAGGTTTGAAGACATTTGGCTTCCCGTCTTTTTAGAGTTATCTGGATTGTTACCTAGTCAAAACTGAATCATATATATGTGTGACTGAAATTTTTCCTTGTCAAAATGAGGTTATAGATATTTAAGATGGCAATTCTATCTATCTATCTACCTATCTATCTATCTATCTATCTATCTATCTATCTATCTATCTATCTATCTATCTATCTATCTATCTATCTATCTATCATCTATCTATCATCTATCTATCTATCTATCTATCTATCTATCTATCTATCTATCTATCTATCTATCTATCTATCTATCTATCTATCTATCTATCTATCTATCTATCTATCTATCTATCTATCTATCTATCTATCTATCTATCATCCAGACCTTCATTCACAAAAGCAATTCGTCTCTGCTTGTTCTCCCAATCCTCCCGCCTATTTATAATCAATGATGAATCATTTGTTGTCATGGGGGTCACGCCTGCGCAGAAGACAGCGTGAAAATCTGAATCATCGACGGAAAGTAAGAAGGGAGGGGGTGGGGGTTAACTGTAGAGTGATGGGACACGGCAGAGGAAACAGCAGCCAGCGATCACTCTCCGCGCTGGTAATGAAAGGTAAATAATTGTGTTATTATTTTTTCGTTTGATTTGGTGTGCATGACGCTGAACACGTTGAGTTGTTGTTGTTGTTGTTTTTTTAAGAAGTCAAAAGACGCTCTCTGCTGTGTGCCGAGCAGACATCATAACAAATCGTCACACACATCTGGATGTGGCTTTAGTTGTGTTAAATGCAAAGCAAGTGTTACTTCAGATTTTGTTAAGGCTGTGTTTGATTAACGCGATCTAAAGTTGCAAGGGTTTTCTGGTGTCGGTATAACTAAAACTTAGGTCATGAAGATCTGACAAACGGTACTTAAGTTCCCCCTACACGAGAGGACGTACTTTGATGCAAAGTTCGCCTTTTATTAGTGTAGTTTAAAATAACGTGCTGTGTGTCTGTCTGCCTGCTTCTCCTCTGCGGGAGAGACGCAGGCATGTCTGCTTTCAGCGTCACACATTACGTCTGTATGTTTTCCTGCTGTGCTGAGGGCTGTTCGGTGATAATGGCGTTCAGCACCACAGACAGCTCCAGTTTATGTTGTACACAGCTTGACCAGGGCAGGGCTACAATGACAGCTTGGAACAGGCGCCTCTATGTGCCACATTGCTGCTTTCTTTTTTTGTGTGTTTTCATCGCTTATTATTTTGTTGGTCAGGTTGAACTTGAAAAGATATTCAATCTGGTTTTGCTGTTATCTATTTATCTGTTTATGTATATATCATTAGGGTATTCATCTACAGCTCTTAGTATGTTCTGTGCCTCAACCTCTAGAGAAGGAAACGTTTGAAATAACGAAAACAACTTTCTCTTGACAGTCTTCACAACCCTATAGTTTTGTTTAAAATTTGTAAAGATTAATAAAATAAATTTACTCATAAATGATGCTACATTTCATGGAATCAAGAATTAGGGATCATGAGTGTCATTATAATGTCATAAGGAAATATTGTTGCTTGGAATACAATATGTAGGACACTGAGGAATATAAAAAACTGCTAAACATTTGAACTTTAATGCTGTAGATACCGTTTCTCTCATGTGCTGTTGTTGCTAAATGCTTAGAGATTTTTACAGGGAAAGATTTTCTTGAGGGTCAAGTCATACTTTGGACGGTGGAGACTGATTTTTTTTTTTCATTCACAACAAGACTAAACACATTTTGTTTTTACTTCATATTTTGTGGTTCAAGAGGTACACCATCCAACAATTCAAGACAGCATTTTATTTCCTAATAAAGTTTTAATATTTAAGAATATCATCTTTTGAAAATTACATTTAGAATGTAATGATAGTTATAACACAACCAATACCATGCAGGAAAATATTTTTCTAGTAATATATTTATGCAACAACTCTGTCACCTAAGACAAAATAATAAAACGATTTTAAGGCGCACATCTTTTTTATTTGTTTGCAGTATCAACCTGTAACAAAATTTGGAACACCTTCCCAATGCAAAGGGCATCTGCAACAAATGTCCCAGTCACCTCAACTGACTCCAGTAGATGTGGAGAAGTGGCTCTGATCCTGTCCACGATGACAAAGCTCTTCCCCCATCTCTAAGGGAGTGCCCTGCCACCCTATGTAGAAAGCTAATTTAAGCCACTTTTATTTGAAATCCAAATTTCATGAGCACAGGTATGACCATCGTTGTTGCCAGGAAAATCGTTAGCTTTGCCTTTTCGCTCAGCTCTCTTCATCACAGCAGACTGGTGCAGCATCCGCATTAGAGCTGCAGCCTGAGCTATCCACCCTTCAATCTCTTGCTTCATTCCCATCTTACTCAGGACCCCTAGATACTTAAATTCCTTCATGTTGAGGCAGGCACTTTCTTCCAACCTGAGGGGGGCATCCACCATTTTCAGGTTGAGATCCATGGCTTCAGACTTGAAGGAACTGATTCTCACCCTTGCTGCGTGGCACTGCTTACATCACATGCTATGGGTCTTGCCAGGAGGAAGCTAGCCAAACCACAACAACTGGAAAAAACGGGGATGAAATCCGCTGGTTACCAAAATTTGATTCCTCCGTCTCTATGATACACCTAGAAATCTTGCTAAGACTGGTGATAGAGAGTGGACCTGTCAGAATCCAACATGTACTGGAATAAGTCTGACTTAATGCTGGCAGAGCAAAAAAAAAAAAACTCTTGCTCGGCTTCTTCAGTACCGGGTGGGTCGCAATAAAGGGTCCCTGACGCTGTACTGCTGGAACACCCCCACAGGGCACCACAAGGGACACAGTTAAATACTCTTTCTAGGTCCACCACATACATAGGGACCAGTCGGGCTTGCTCACATGAAATCTTAAGCACATCAAAGAGGGTGTAGAGCTGGTCCAGTGTTCAACAGCAAGGATAAAAACCCCACCTGTAAGTCATGAAGCCAAGATTAAACAAGAAGTCTGACTCTTCTACAGCACCCTGGCATATATATTCTCAAGGAGGGAGATAAGTGTGATCCCTCATGGTTGGAAAACACCCTCATGTCCCCCTTGTTATGCAAGGAAACCGCCATCTCAGTCTGCCAGTGAATAGGGCATTGTCCCTGACCTAGAAATTATGTTGAAGAAGCATGTTGGCCATGACAGCTCAACAGCATCCAGAGACCTAAGGTACTCAAGGTGGAGCAAACCGCCACCATAACATGGTGGAGAGGTTCTAGTGCTACGGTATGTTGTTAGTTGCTTAAATGCCCCTAGTAGGGTCTCCCAAGGCAAATAGGCCATGGGTGACAGGTCAGACAAAAAGACAGTACACAAAGCCTCTTATGCTGTCCATAAAAATTATGGTGGCAGATAACAGACATCACTGAAGCCAGGCCTGGGGTTGGGGTTTGTTGGCAAGCACTTGGTGGTCAGGTTCCAATGCAAGGCCTTTCCTCAGTGGGCCAACCACCTGCATGAGTCAGAGCTGGAAGGCTTGATGACCTAATCCATGGATTTAAACTATTCTTTTTTCTTAATTAGGTTAAAAAGCAACAATTATTGATCTTAAAAAGCACTGAATGCTACTAAACCTTTACATGTATATTTTTAAGTGTTTAATTGTTCTAATTTTTCAATTTTTTTTTTCCATTTTGGCTTTTTTTGGTTAAAATGATGGGTATAGTTGTATAGAATTTTGTACACCATACAAATCACATTAAAATGTCTACATTTGAAGCCTTGAAAAGGGGTCTATTTTCTTTTCACCATTACCATAGTAGCTTTAAATCCAGCAAAAATTGAAGGTATGACATCATAATCCAGACTAAAGCATGTCCCCAAAGAGCTTATTATTATTATTTTTTAATTAAACTCAAGTTAAGTAACAGAATAATTGTGTTGATGAGCTAAATATACTTTTTAGGGATTTATTGAACAAAGGAATGTTGTAATATTTGTCTGCTAATTAATTATCAGAGCCGATAAAGTCAAAACTGGCTCATTTTCAGCACTTTTTTAATAATGATGGGGCAGAACTTTTTTTTTTGCTTCTGTTACGACAGGGTACATAAGAAGAGCAAAATTTTGTACTCATACAGACAAACACATCAGCACACATGTTTTATCCCACTATCTTTACAGGGATTTTCCTTTGACTTCCATTCATTCATTTAAATTGCCCAGACCTTTATCCTTACCCTAACCTTTACCAACTCATTGCCCTAAACCAAACCCCAACCCAAGAAGAAAATATTTCCTGTGGGGACCAGTTGATTGGTACGATAGGAACTCACACATACAGTCCATGTTTTTCAGGCAGGTAAAAATAATAACAGTGTTACATTTTTGTTCTTGAGATTCAATTGAATAATAAGGTTATTCTGTGTGTGCATTTGAAGCATTACTAAATGTTAATGTCAAGATGCCTCTGCTTGTTTTATGATACCACTGCATGCATTGTAAATTGCAGTGTACTGAGGCAAAAATGCCTCCAGTCTGTATTACATAACTTGACAGCATGTATGCTTATGTGTATGTTCATGTATGGCTGAGATCTAGATGATCTGTCTTCACACTGTGGGGGTGTGTGTGCATGTGTGTTGGTTGGGGGGGGTCCAGGAAGCACAGGTTTCATACCATGTCTGTCTATCTACATTCTTGCAGACTAGTGTGAAGGATGACTTCACGCTCTGAGACCTGTGAGTCAGAATACAGGGAACAGGCCCAATCCGGTGGGAGCTACCAACAGTATGGAGTCCGGTCATACCTCCATCAGGTAATAGAACAGAAAATTATGTACATAGAAAACATACACTTAAGAAATTCTAACCTGATATAAACAGTTCTTCTTAACTCAAAGGTGATTCAGAGCAAGAATAATCTATATGTGATATCAGCTTCTGTGTATATTTTTTGACACAGTAGCATGAAAATAATTGAAAAAAGGAAACAGAACTGAAAAATAACATCTCTTTGCTTCCTTACAGTTCTATGAGGAGTGCACAGGTTCTATCTGGGATCGTGATGAAGATTTTCAGATTCAGAGATCGCCAAACAGGTGGAGCTCTTTACTCTGGAAGGTGAGGTTAACTTGTAGCTCTAACAAACATGTTTGAGGTTGTGTAATTTAAATAACTTCAAACTTCAACTGTTCTTGATAAAAGCAAACTTTTTGATAATGTATCACTTACCACTGCCTTTTCTCCCTCCACTCAGGTCTGTCTCACGTTTGGTACATTGATCCTCATTACAGGCCTTGTTGTTGTTCTTGTGGGTTATGCAACACCAACTAAGACTGAAGCATTTGGTGAAGATGATCTCCTCTTTGTTGACAGGTATAAATAAGTGTCTAGCAGCCGAACACTAAGCTTTCAGAAACGTTTTGCTCAGAGATCCAAATCTAATTGATAGATAAACTCCAAAGGGACTGATATTGACAAACTTCATTTAATTAGGCACATACTTCAGAGCAAAAGCAATGCTTATTTCTTTCAGTGTTTACATGCTACCCTAAAAAGCTTTTATTTTGTCCCCCTGAACCTTCCATAGTAAATGCCCAGATCAAGTAACAATAAACAACTTTATGTTTATACTGATGCTATATAAATTAAGCTTCAGGACCAAATACATTTCAAACTTTTTTTAACTCTCTTTTGTTTATTCAATTTTCTTTTCTGTGGTACGTTTTTAGGAGACCTTGTTTTACTTAATCATATAGGCAATGTGCAAAACATTAACAGTAATAACAGTAAACTAAAAAAATAAACAAAAAATTATTTAAAAGGTTTGACTGTTTTTTTACTGGAACCTAAAATTCTAACCCCAACAAAAGTAGTCTATGTATTGATAATTGAAATATGCACAAATTTATTTTTTTTAAACCAAAAAAATACATTCTTAAAACTGTATGCCAGTGCATCAAATGGCCTGCAGTAGTTCTATGAGTATTTTTTACCAGATAGTGATGGTTAGGGTTATTTTCTATGTATTTGTTTTTTATTGATCATTTCTTAAGGACTTTTTCTGCATATACAGCTGTTCAAACTCCTCAGTAAATGTGCATTTTGCTCAATTGTGGATTTTCTGTATAGGGAGAGCTTTGTGAAGGTATTATGCTGAGATTTGTGTTCTTTATTCCTGTTTTTATATGCCTTGGAAAATACATTTGTCTCAAGTGTGTCTCTTTTGGCCTTCAAGTTAGTCTTTTTTTTTAGACCTACACTATATTGCCAAAAATAATTATCTCACCTGCCTTGATTAACAAATGAGCTTGTCAGTGACATCAAATTTCTAATCTAATGGTTTTTATTATGTCGTTGCTCCACCAAATGCTGCTAGAATGCTTCAGCTCTTCTTGTACAGTAAGACTGTCCACAAGCTTTAGGATTGTGTTTATGGGAATTTTTTACTATTCTTTATGAAGACTCTTTGTGAGGTCACACACTGATGTTCGACTAGAAGGCAACGCTCTTAGTCTCCGTTCTAATTCATCCTAAAGGTATTCTATCTGGTTGAGATCAGGGCTCTCTGCAGGCCAGTCAAATTCATACACACCAGACTATGCTGTCCATGTCTTTATGGACCTTGCTTTGTGCACTGGTTCATAGTCATGTTGGGAAAGAAGGAATATGCTCTAAACTGTTTCCACAAATTGGTTGCATGGAATTGTCCTAAATGTCTTGGTATGCTGAAGCATTCAATTCCTTTCACTAGAATTAAGCGGCCAAGCCCAGCCCCTGTAAAACAACACCACACCATAACCCTCTACCAAATGTTACATTTTGCACAATGCAGTCAGACAAGTGCTGTTCTCCTGGCAACAGCCAAACCCATCCAATTTCCATATGTGAAGCGCAATTCGTCACTCCAGAGAATGTATTCTCACTGCTCATCCAGTGGTAGAATGCTTTACACAACTGCATCCAACAGCTTTGCATTGCACTTGTATTGCTTGGATATAGCTGCTTCACAAAATAAGGCCATTCCATGGAGCTCTCTGTGCACAGATATTGAGCTAATCTGAAGGCCACGTGAAGTTTGGAGATGTGTAATATTGTTATCTGCACAAAGTTGCCGACCTCTTCACACTATGCACTTCCGCATCCACTACCCCAGTTTACGTGGCTAACCACTACATGGCTGAGTTGCTGAGTTACATTTTCTTAAGATACAGTTGATTGTGGAATATTAAGGGGAGAGGCAATTTCCCAACTGGATTTGGGGCACAGGTGACATCCTATCACAGTTCCATGCTGGAATTCTCTTAACTACAGAGAGGACCTATTCTTCCAAAAATGTTCGTAACAACACTCTTCATTCCTAGCCGTTTGATTTTATACACCTGTGGCCTTCGGAACACCTAATTGCAAATGTTTGGATGGGTGAGCAAATACTTCTGGCAATATAATGTAGCTAAGAGAGAGACGTCCCTTTTCAATACTGTAAATTTTAATCATAGATATTATGGCAGAATGCTAAATAGAGCTCAGGTCTCTTCTGGTCAGGCAGTTGAGCCCCAGCTTACTTTGCCCTGAAAGTAAAGTGTGAGCTTTGCTCAGATGAACTTGCCATTAGGTTTGGATAGTGTAGATTTTGAAAATCCCCGTCATAACTAAGCTTAATTATTTTTCCATTTAACTGAATAAAGTCTGTTTTGTATTTCTGTTTGGTGTTCAATTTTGATCTTTTTTCTACATTCATTGTTTTAAATGTGCAAAGATTAAGAGAAGTGCATTATAACAGGACATTAACAATACAAATTTGTTTTGGAACAGCCATGCTGTTAGTTTCAACCGTGCACTGGATGTTTGCAAGCTGACTGGTGCGGTGCTGTTCTGTGTGGGTGGCACCTCCATGACTGTGGGTCTTCTGTTGTCTGCCTTCGCAAAAAGCTACTCCAAAGAGGAACTTTACCTGCAGCAAAAGTTTAAGGAGCGATTAGCTGATCTACATGCAACAGTTGGTAAGCTGGCCCATGAAGGGATTGATGAATGTGAATCTTTCAAGGCAAAATTGTCTGTTTCATGGAAAAAATATTAACTAGCAGGGACTGTTATTGTCACAGGTTCATCAATAATGAGAGCACCAACTCCTGGGGAAGGAAAGGTGCCTGTAACACTCTCCAAAGTTCAGAACATACAACCTGCAACCACAAAGGGGAAGACCTGATCAACACCAGAATACAGAAAGAAAAAGCTAATAGACTTAAGACTTATTGGTGTGCAGAATGTGTATGAGTGAGTGCACATGTGTGTAATCATCTTTTCAAGCAAATTATCTTTTGAAATGGTCAGCGTTCATGACTGTGGTTCTTTCTTAATCAGTACTTGCATTTTTTACATTATAGTCAACTATAAATTCAGAATTCTCCCAAAGGTGCACAAGTGTAATAAATAGTCATACAAGCAATTTTATTTAAAACACACAGACATAAACTACTATCCATGCACATTTTGATTGTTTTATACATGCAAATTCAATTCCATGAGCTTTCCAATTTGTCACAAGCATGAGTGCATGCTCCTTCTCTGTGCTTGGGGCTTACTTTCCACACGCCTGTACCCTTTCTCATATTTGCCTGTGGACCTGTTTCTGTGCGCTCATGTCAACTCCTGTTACAATTTACTTTAGAGTGGAACTAACCTAAAATAAATTGCCTGTGATTGGCTACTTTTCAGGGAACTCTCCCTCTTTATACATGACTGTTTTCTTTAGGCTATTATCTATTCTTTTAAAGAGGAAGAAATTAATTAAGTAGTCACCATAGTCACATAGTCACAGCCATGTGACTGCTGTGTTTTGACAGCAGTAGCCATATGCTCTAAAATGATTAATGTTAAACATGGCAATTCATATGAGCTAAGCTAACCTTAGCTTTACTGTTTATAATGAGGAAACTAAGACTCGAATGAACTCTTTTTTTCAGTCATTTCCATTGTTAACAATTTTTCATCTATTGTTTCGCATTTTTTATTTTATAGCCAACATTCTTTTTTTAAATAAAATTTTCAGTTGATGACGGAGATGGCTGATGGATTTGAAGTCTCCTGAAGACAAGAGTTATTAATAAAGATGTTTTGTTAGCATCACTAGCCACAACCAGGAAAAAAAAAATACTGTCTTAAAAGACGTGATTTCCTGAAACATAGCCAATCAGAAGCAGTTTACTTTCACAAGTTGGTTTCACCCTGGAATTGACAAAGTTGACATGATCAAGAACAAAAACAGGTTGTCCTGCGGGTAGAAGAGAATCTACAGGCGCATAAAAAGCAAGATAGCGCAGAAAAGGTGCATTAACTCATGGTTGCGACATATTTTAATCTGATGGTACTGAATTTGCATGCATAAAATATTCAAAATGCATCTAGAGTGTAGTTTACATTCATGTCTTTAAAATAGAAACAGAATCAGAATCAAGTTTATTGCCAAGTAGGATTGCTCTTACAAGGAATTTGTCTTGGTCTTTATGATGCAGACAAATTAGATATATATACAGAATACAGAATCGATAGCTATATACAATATAAAACTTGCAATACGCTATATACAATATATAGTATAGCTATATATTATATACACAATAGACTGTGCTTTAATATTACGCAGGAGGTCTGAAGATACTACGTTGGTGTTGCTTGTTGGTAAAACTGTATGATTATTAATTATGATTATGCATTTTAGGCAAAATTCTGACTTCATGGTCATATTTTGACAGTTATCCCAGCTAAATAAATAAACAGTTACATCAGCTAAGTAAAGTATGTTGTATTATTTAAACTATAGTGACAAATTCTCACAAAGTAATGGCAATGTTACACAGAATATTAAGCACAAAATTATCTTATCAAATCTTCATCCTGTCAAAAGCTGGTTTTTAATCACATTTTATGAAATGGGAGAGGCTGTTTATGAGAAAGGGGGTCTGAAAGAAGCTCGATCAATTCAGTTCAACCAATTCCATTGGCAGTGAAAGGTACATTTTAAATATGGGAATAAGTGTGATATTGTGTTATATCACGAGTGCTTCTTTATGGTGCTCTTTGTCAACAAACCAGAGATTTGACATTTTATACCCTTGAGAAAGAAGCAAAATCTTATTTGGCACAAAGACACACTGGAAGAAAATTCATAGGAAGAACATTGACATTTTCTTCTGGCTTATTACTCCTCTAACCTCGTTTCTTCAATTAACCTTCAGGCAGGATCAATAGACTAAGCTTAGACACAAAGAAATAATCTATATTGCACAAGAGAATATGACAAAAAAAGACTGGCTTGACAAAGAAGAGGAAGAAAAAAAGAACCATATTATCTCATCCATCTACTTCTCTTTTGGTCGTCATTTCAAATGTAACCATAAAGAATCACATGCCCCCATGAAAGTCATAGCTCATTTTATACCATCCTGCATACAAATCTTGCTAGCTGCTGTTTACCATCTGTTCTTGTTTGTAAAAATGAAAACAAAACAAGGGTTTGCTGGAAGAGGAACACAACAGGCAGGTTACATAACAGGCGCATAGTTGATGAGGTAAGCTTGCTAATGAGAAGCAACATTGCATTTGACTGTGATAATGGATGAACTGCTGTGATTCAGATATGCTCAATGATGGCTTTACTTATAAAATTTAAAATTACATTTATACCCAGCCAAACACATGATATGCAATACTACTCAAGTAATTAAACATATAATCAGAAATTCTTTTTTTTGTATGCTATAATTGAGATTCAAAGTTGGGAGAATTTTTGTCTTTATTTGGTTATTTATGTTAATTGTCCATGCTTGTTGCACAGATGGTGCAGACCACATTTTTACATCTAGGTCTTTTGTTAGTGTAAATATGCTGCCAAATTGTTATCCTCCTTCTTTAAGTTGTTTCAATATTTGATGCCTTTACCCTTTTCATTTTGTCTCTAGAGTTATAGAATAAATGACCAATAGGACAAATTTTTGCTCCACGCCTCATCAGAACAATGTTAGAACAACCTGTCATGCTCATTTACTTTAAGGTATTATGGCCGTTAAATGATAAATTGCTTTCCTTGTCTCATCAATATTGTCAAAATATCTATTTTTATGAAACTTAACATGGAGAGGAGAACTTGAGCTGTTAAAAAAATGTATTTATAAACTTTCCCAGTGTGATCTCACTCTCAAGAACTGATCAGTAAATGTACTGATTATGAACTGATTTGCTGTTTTATGTTAATTTAACATTTTAAAACCAGAAGATGTGTTATTATCTTTATTTTTATTCTGAAATGTTATTTCGTTTATTTACCTTTAAATAGAAACATCCATACAAATGTAAGAGTCACTACCCCAGTCAATAATAAAAATGACACCTACTGGATTCAAACAAGGTACATCACTGTTTGTACTGTACAGTATGCTTACATTTCAAAATACACAATAAAATTACATTCTGCCCCTCAAAAAGGTGTGCAATTTGTATCTGCAAGTACATTTATAAATACACTCACCGGCCACTTTATTAGGTACCCCATGCTAGTAACGGGTTGGACCCCCTTTTGCCTTCAGAACTGCCTCAATTTTTCGTGGCATAGATTCAACAAGGTGCTGGAAGCATTCCTCAGGGAGTTTGGTCCATATTGACATGATGGCATCACACACTTGCCGCAGATTTGTCGGCTGCACATCCATGATGCGAATCTCCCGTTCCACCACATCCCAAAGATGCTCTATTGGATTGAGATCTGGTGACTGTGGAGGCCATTTGAGTACAGTGAACTCATTGTCATGTTCAAGAAACCAGTCTGAGATGATTCCAGCTTTATGACATTGCGCATTATCCTGCTGAAAGTAGCCATCAGAAGTTGGGTACATTGTGATCATAAAGGGATGGACATGGTCAGCAACAATACTCAGGTAGGCTGTGGCATTGCAATGATGCTCAATTGGTACCAAGGGGCCCAAAGAGTGCCAAGAAAATATTCCCCACACCATGACACCAGCACCAGCCTGAACCATTGATACAAGGCAGGATGGATCCATGCTTTCATGTTGTAGACGCCAAATTCTGACCCTACCATCCGAATGTCGCAGCAGAAATCAAGACTCATCAGACCAGGCAATGTTTTTCCAATCTTCTATTGTCCAATTTCGATGAGCTTGTGCAAATTGTAGCCTCAGTTTCGTGTTCTTAGCTGAAAGGAGTGGCACCCGGTGTGGTCTTCTGCTGCTGTAGCCCATCTGCCTCAAAGTTCGATGTACTGTGCGTTCAGAGATGCTCTTCTGCCCACCTTGGTTGTAACGGGTGGTTATTTGAGTCACTGTTGCCCTTCTATCAGCTCGAACCAGTCTGGCCATTCTCCTCTGACCTCTGGCATCAACAAGGCATTTCCGCCCACAGAACTGCCGCTCACTGGATGTTTTTTTCTTTTTCGGACCATTCTCTGTAAACCCTAGTGATGGTTGTGCGTGAAAATCCCAGTAGATCAGCAGTTTCTGAAATACTCAGACCAGCCCTTCTGGCACCAACAATCATGCCACGTTCAAAGTCACTCAAATCACCTTTCTTCCCCATACTGATGCTCGGTTTGAACTGCAGGAGATTGTCTTGACCATGTCTACATGCCTAAATGCACTGAGTTGCCGCCATGTGATTGGCTGCTTAGAAATTAAGTGTTAACGAGCAGTTGGACAGGTGTACCTAATAAAGTGGCCGGTGAGTGTATATGTCACTAAATTTAAAAAACTTCAGAAAAGTTGATTTATGTCATGAAGTTCAGTAAAGTATATATGTGAAATAAATTAATTATACACAGGGTGATATCGGTCACATATTTCTTTTAGTTTTTAAGATGTGTACTAGTTTTTGCAAACCTAAAATCCAATTTCTCATGGATATTTGAAGATTACCTAACACCAATAAAAAATAATTAAAACAGAAACCTTTGTGAACACTTTCATATGCAGTAGTGCTGATTTGACTTTATTATTGACTCCCTACAATAGAAGGGTACAGTAAGTCGCAAATATTAGGTACATTCTAATGTTTTTGGACATTGGCAAACAATGTCACACAGATACATCGAGTACATGGTCTATGATTATCACAATCCTGGCTTTTAGCCTCGTTTGACAAAAAAGAAAAAAGACATTTAAAGTGTACTGCTTAGGCAAAGGAGCTTTGAAGCACAGTATTCCACTTCCTTACCTTAAAGCGAAGAGTTTCCACAGCCGGTGATGATTACAAAATTAGTGTAGCTGTTTAACAGAACAGAAAATCTTAGATTGCTTCATATTTTCCATTTTTAGATGTGTCAGTTTTATTTCTTAAGAAGGACTTGGCGGTAGCTGAGACTGTCAAGTGTAACAATACCTGGTTGATGACCATAGCATGTGTTTGCTCGATGACCTGGCCTAAACTACTACCTACCAAATTTGAGAGAAAGATAAAAGAAACCAGATCCCACATTCAGTAAAGCTGAACAGATTAATAATAACAAATTGTGCTTTCTAAGGACCCAGGCAAAGCTACAGCTTGACTGTCTCAATGCCATATTTTAAAGATGTTTGAATTTACAGAAAAAGGAGTTTCAAACAGAGTCCTCAGTACATACACTGTAAAGGGCTGTTTTTCAATGCTATAATCATAAAAAAATTACCAAGATTAACTTAAAAGATATACATATTTTTTGATAATTAATCACTTTAATATCAAGGCAATATCAAGTTCAACTTGGAATTTATTAAATATATATAAGTAAATATATATTTTAACTTCCTTAGATGCATACTGGGTCAGTCACTAGATTTTACCAACGAAAATAAATACAAATTCAGATGCAGTTTTATGACTATCTTTAATGAATTTTTATTCCCTTTATTAGTATTATCATTATGTGAAATACCTGGTGGAGAGAGAAAGAAATAGAATAAATATAATGCATTTATCGGTGAATATGACCCCCAACTAAAGAGACCTAAGAAGAGCAGATATGCCTACCATAGCTTATTGTATGTGTGGGAGGACAAAACTGCATAGGAAACACAAACTCATTAAAGCTGATATTTATTTGGCATCATAAAAAAAGGAAAGCAAGAAAATCACAAATAATGCACAAGTGAAAGTAAAAAGGAGAGAGATGCTGATTGGATCATTTCCTTGTAGCCTCCATTTGAATTTAATTTTTATAAAAAAAATGTACAACCCCTTGCAATCAAGTCCTTAGATGTTTGACAAAGACAGAACACTATGTAAAAAACAACAACAAAAAAACCCGTTAAAACTCATTGAGGCTAAGGTCAAACAATCAAATGATATTGTGTACTGCATTTATCAACTAGTTAATGTTAACAATAACACATTTTATCAGAGCTTAACTAAGTAAATATGATTTTATTCCTTTTAATCCGCAAACCATAAATCCTCTTATAAAAGTGCACTGATTGTTTAAGCTACAGTCAATTATTTCATACTCTTGAATAGAATGTATTCAATGCAATTAAACCAAAGAGAAAACAGAAACACATTCTTATGAAAAAGTGTTGAGTTTAGTTAAGGATTTTGTACTAAATATGAAAGTTTAATGGAAGTAGTTTCTTAACAGGCGGCTTGTTGAGCAGAAAAACTTTTTCTTTTAGTTTTTCGGCTACATAAATAAATAAATATACAGTCTACTGTTTAAACTGCTTCATATTTAATGAACGATGACAACTAAAGAAACTTTGAACTATTTAAACAGTATAAGATCCTGATTTTTACAAGGCATATTTTTGTTTAAACAAAACAAAATTATATTGATTGTTCCTTTGACCTTTAGTACATCTTTCCTTGAACGTACAACACTACTATAAAGGATTAGAACACTAAACATGGAGTTTACATTTAGTATACACTATGTTACCACACACTGACAGAAAGACAGTGTCAGACACTGTGTAGTACAGAAGCCTTAATGTTGCCTTGAAGGCTCAGTACTTTTTGGTCAATGGATGGCAGGGGGTCTGAAAGGATCGCCCCTGCTGAGCATGACCCAATGCTTAACTTTATCAAAAAGAGAGATTGAAAGGGGCATAGTCATGTACCATGGCTATAAAAATCCCAAAATAAAAAGCTAAAGACATACACTGCAAAAACAATCCAGAAATAAGTAAAAAATGGCTTAAATTAAGTATATTTAGCCTTAATTTGAGCAGGTAAATAAGATGATTTGCCAATGGAATGAGTATTTTCACTCTTAAAATAAGATAGTTAGATAATATTTACTTGAAATAAGACGATAAAATAGTTTTTTCTTATTTTAAAAGGAAATTGTCTTGTTCCATTGGCAAAGTGTCTTACTTACCTCCTCAAATCAAGGAAAAACACACTTATTTTAAGAAAAAATAACTTATTGAGATTTCTATTTTTTGCAGTGGAATTCCTCCTCAAATAAAACATTGCCTGTACTGACTTTTTGAACCTTAAAAATTATTTTTTTTTACATTGTTGTGCACCATCTGCCAGCTGTTTGGAAAACTAAATTTTGAAACTTGGTTAATGGGGAAGATTGTACACATAACATGCCATACGTGTTTTTTTTCCATAGGAACAGTATTACTATAGTATTAGTAGATTGTGTACTCACATATCCATCAGCAGCTTTAGCTTGCACCTCAACAAACACAAATATTCATTTGTATTGGTAGTACTACCCATATCTATTCCCTGTTGCAATGTACTTTTCGTGCTTTTCACAGTTGATCTTGGACTCTATTTCTGTCTTCTTTTTTTTTTTTTTTCAGGTTCATTGCTTCTCCGATAAATAAAAACCATCTATTGCTTTTCCGTATTTCCTTATCATACCTCCTGTAACATGGTCTTGTTAGGCTAAATATCTGTAAAAGTGCTTTGTTTATGAAGAATTAAGGCAAAAACAATGTATTCAACAGAAATCAAATATGATTAGTTAACTGGATACCTTAGTTGAATAGGAAGAACTTTGTATACAACTATAGATTGAGATACTAATGTAGTCATTTTTAAGGTCATAGGCAAAAGAAGCAAAGAACCCAAACTTGTCGTGTTTAGGTTTTCAGACTCTGAATAGGAGCAATCACGGAGGCAATGATCTGTTAAAGGTTTTATTGAAGGTTTGTGGTAGTACAGAGAGGAGTCCGGCAGGCAGGGTAGTCAGGATACGGCTGGAAGAGGTTAGGTGACAGGTGAGCAACCGTTCGGTGCTGGTGGAAGAGTGAGGGATGTATGAGACTCACAGAGAGGACGGCTTGGCGTCTGTTTGGGAGGATGGTGTCCAGTGGTCCAGCCTATTGGTGCAGGTCCGGTTGGCGAGATCGGATGGTGGTGTCTGAGGGTGGACTGGCAGGTGCGCTCAGGCAGGAGGGCGTCTTAAGGTTCTGAGACCAGAAGCCTCACAGGTTCCTAGTGGGTGACTGAGTGGTTTCAGGGCTTGGGATCCTGGGTTCTAGGAGAAGGGAGCAGAGAGGACAGGGTTAGATTCTGGCAAAGCTTAGGTTCTAGGCTTGGTTCAGGATCAGTTGTACCAACGCTGAAGCATTAACGAACTGACGCCCTCCTCCTGGTTCCAGCTCCTTAAAAAGGGTGGAAATCAGCTGATGAGGAGCACCTGCCCGTCCAGCCCTGCAGAGAGAGAATAAAGGAAAAACAAAACCCCAGCCTGCACCCAGGACTGGGAGCATGACAGCACTACAATTGCACACAGTGACCCTGTGGGTATGAAATGGACTGAAAAGAGGGCACCTGATGGAAATGGGAGCTTTTTACATATTGACAGCAAGTTAAATGCCTAAAAGGAGCGATGCGTAGCTGGGATTAAAGCTGTATTTTTTACTGCCCGGCATGTAATTACTTTTTAATGAGCGAGGTATATTTGCTTTTAAATGTACTGTTAGTTTGATTAAAATATGCTTCAAGAAATGGAGAAAACTATTATATTAAGAGTCTTCATCTCCCTGAACCCTCCCAACATTCAAGGGTGTTTCTCATAGCTTTCATTACATCTAGCAGAATTAACATCAATCAGGCAGAGTGCTGAACCGAGTCCTATTAACACGCCCACACAGGCATACACAGTCACAGCAACACACAAAAACACGTACACTAACAGTCAGTGGCCTTGGGAAGTGATAAGATTGAATTGATGGTGACTCCAGAAATAGCATTGTGAGCATCATCACCTCCACCAGTTGGGTCTTATAACTCACACCCGCTCCCACCTCCGCCTGCTCAGCTTCTCTGTGTGTCTTTTTCCTTTCCCTGTCCGCTTATTCCTCACCCTCATTTTCACACACAATATCCTCTTGTCTCTTGGGACGGTGACTCAGAGACACACTGACTGCATAAATCTCAATTTGAACAGCTGAAGGAATAAGAGGGCGGCGAGGCTGAGAGAAATCCAATTAGATCATACTTTACATTAGAGTACTTTTTCGAGACATTTTTAAGGGCATGATGTAACTTTCTTTTATGGTAAAAAATGTTGAATGAAATAGGCAGTTGGAGAGTTTTTACTCACATGCCAAGTGACCTGAAACACACCTAATTGGTGATTAATGTCTGTATGTGTCTGTTGAGGTTATGTTGAGGACATGTAGGTTTTTTTTTAAAGAGGTCTTTTAGTTTCAATACAGTTTCCATTTCTTTCAACGGCAGTTTTCCCTCACTTTTTGTTGAAACCATTATTTCTTTGTTACATTAAATAGCCACCTAAAATAGTTTTGTGACGACAAGATATTGTAATGAAGCTACTTAGGAGGCTATTGCTGTTGCTTATTACAAGAAAGGTTAGCAAAGTAATTGAATCAATTTTAACACTAATAGGAGAACAAAGCAAGAATACAAGTTTACATATTTGGACTTGTCTTTTCCTTTTGAACCTTTTCATCAAATAAAAATTTCTTGGGTTCACTTTTAAATATCTGGTGTGCCCTAAGTATGATTTTTAAACCTTTAGTAAAAATTACTTTTAGAGGCACCATAATTTATTCTACTTTTTGTCTAGTCAGTTTGTAGAAGATTATCTTCACACCATCTACACATTTACTAATCTTATATCAAGATAATTTATGTATCAAATAAGATTTAAAAACCAAATCATAGACAAAGATAATAAAAATGAATTAATTCTTTAAAATCCTATTCATTCTTCGCATTAAATTCTTAACAGTTTAAAAACACCAGCCAATGTTTTTAAACTTAAAAATGCAAGAAAACAAAAATAAACTCTAAGAATGCATTAAATGGCTGTTAAAATTCTATGACCTGGCATGAACGAAAATCATTGCCCCAAATCTCACAAAAGAACTTCAATGATCAAGCAGTCAACCTGCTAAAATAAAACCAATCCAGTAATAAAAAAATGGAAATTTGTGTTTTTTATTTATTTATGAAGTTTATTTTTTCTGTAAGTGGAAAGCCATAATAATGAAAAAATACATAAATGAACATATGCATTTCACATTTCACATACAGCCTTAATACAAGATGTCAAACCAGACTGACTGTTTAAATTCATATGAGAGTTAATGAGGTGTAAATTCACTACAATGTTACCATCATCATCCTTATTATCATCATATTCATCAAATCTATATTTTCTACAGATTGGTTAATGAGATATGAAAGCACCTTAAGAGTTAAAAGGGATATTTAATATTAGAATTAATATGACTATAGCTTTTATTGGTTATAAACTTGTGTGTATAACTTAGTCAAAGGCTTTGAAAGACTCCTTAAATTACAAGCTATCTTTTTTTTGGAAAAACTAAGAAAACCTTAAAACATAGTTCTTTAATTTTCAGTCTTGTTGATTTTGAAGGGGCAACAAAAGCTTTTTTTGGTCTTTATTTGTCTTTAGCAGCATCCTCTTCTTTCTCTCTTCTTTTTGTTTCATCTTCAAAACTAGCTGAACTGTTTGTTTCCTGTTTTGCTTGAATTTCCACCTTTTCATTATCTACATTCACCACTTCATTAATCTTTTCTTCTTTTCCTGGTTTGTTGGGAGCCTCATCTTTAGCTTTTATCAGATTGTCCTCCTGGTTACTGTCCCTGCTGCTGCTAGTAATTCCGCTCCCTTCTCTTTTATCCGACTGAGTCTCACCAGGGATGTTCCTGTTTTCTGCCTCTTTTTGTCCCTCCCCAGTGTCTGCATCATTACTGTGGTCATTGGTGCTTTCCTCCCCATTACCACCAGCTTTCTCTTGCTTATCTTCATCTATATTAGTGTCTTGCTCTTTCTCAGCCTCAGAGGATGTAGTTAGACCTTCCTTTTGCTCTTTATTGTCCTGGGTCATATCACCAGCAGCACTACTAGTAGATCCTTGCTCCTCGCTATTAACCTCATTCTTACTCTCTTCGCTGACCTCCTCCTTCGCTTTTTTATTTCCCTCCACCTTCTCCTCATTTACTGTAGAACATTCACTTTCTTTGTCATCATTTGTTTCATTAGATGCCTTCTTTTCATCTACTTTTTCACCATTTTGCTCATCGGTTGCTTTCTCATCTACTTCTTCATTTTGCTCACTAGTTGCCTTATCATTTACCTTTTCACCATTTTGCTCATCAGTTGGTTTATCATCTACTTTTTCACCATTTTTCTCATCAGGTGGTTTCTCATCTAATATTTCAGCATTTTGCTCATCAGATGCCTTATTCTCTTCTACCTTTTCACCCTTTTGCACATCAGCTGCCTTCTCTTCAGTATTTTCATCATTTTGAACAGCTTCCTTCTTCCCCTCTTCTTCTTTTACAGCAGTTGTACTTTGGACCTCCTCCTTTTCATCTTTGCATGTGGACATATCTGTCTCAGAACAAGGATTCTCCTTGGTCTTTTCACTGTCCTCCAGTGAAGTCATCTCACCAACAGAATTCTTTAACACAGCAAAACAAGAATAACAAATGTCATTAGCACTCACAGCAGGAATCACAATATAAAATTACACTTTCAAAGGCATTGAAAGCACACGCATTAAAAATCAATGCTCAATATTTAATTATTTTCTTTTTAATGTAATAAACATAATTAGTCCATTTCTTTGCAAAAAGTGTTGTTGATTAGAATTTTCCCCTACAGCTGTGCAGGTTCATACCTCGTTGGCTCCCTGATCTTGGGAGGTTTTAGCCTCTGTGTTTTCACGGTCAGCCTGTCCTGCGTCATCTGGAGCGAGAGAGACAAAACATGCATGAGGCCAACTGTGCAGAAAGCTGAGTATACCTTGCCAGTACTGGGTTGGACACCTTTCCACCTTTAGAACTCACTCATGTTGTTCAAGTCAAATTGTGAAGGAAACACCACGCTAAGATTTTAGTCCACGTTAACATCAAAAACACACCATCAGTTCAATTCTGTTTATTTATATAGTGCCAATTTACAGCATATGTCATCTCAAGGCACTTTACAGACACAATTCAACCAGATCATACAATCAAATTGATTAGAAGTTGTCTATCTAACCTTTACTTTTTATTCTAAATATATTGGCCTCATATTTTTTAATATATGCATTTTGTTTCATCCCATTGAGAGACTGGTTTATTAGTATTGCATATTTCAACAACAAGACAACTTATGTGCTTTACTTAACAAAAACATGGGAAAATAAAGCAGTAAAAACATGTTTAATGCTTCAGTTAACAGTTTAAATTGAAAAGAACATTAGACAAAAAATGTCTGCAGTCAATAGATTGTAGCCACAAAGGAGGTACTGGTACAGTGCTAGAGGATGGGGAGATATTCTGTGCTATGTAAATCTATTTATCAACATCTATATTTATTTGAAAATAAGAATGGTACTTGAGAGGGGATGGGGGAAAGTGGACAATCCTCTATTTGTCACAACAAGGAATTTTTTCCCTCCCTTTATTTAATAAAACATAACCGGGCACAAAGCATAGTTTTAAGGTCACTCACAAACTGCAGTCCGCTTTTTTGAAAATGCAGCAACCAAACCGGCTTGCATGTCTTTACACCTGCGCAGTAATATTTGTAGATCACCTACTGTACAAGATGCCCCCTTATTTCACGGTCCATAAGAAAATTGCACTTGCAATTTAGTGCTCTTTATTTAGAATAATCTAAATAAAGGGTTTAAGTTTTATGGGGTTCCTTTAAATGGTGCGACTCTTGTTTGATTTTAATACAAAGTATATTTCCTTTTCATTACATTGATTAAAAAAGGTTTTTTCTAGGATTGTTCATATTTTTTGGCCAGTTAAATGCTGTTATGGTGCACAGATATCACGTTATTAAACATCTCGTTTACTTAATTGTTTAATTAGTTTAAACATAATAATCAGAACTGCATAAATACATTGCAATTGAGTCGACTCATCACAAAAAAATACAATAGATTAGATCAAAGTGCTTATGAAATTCTTAATACCTTTCATTAATCAATTAACTCATTATGTAATTCCTTATTTCATATTAAATATTCTATATTTGTACGTTTGCATCTAAAGTTCTGATAACTGGAAAGTCGTGTAATTTCATCAAAACTTTAGATAATAAAAAGTAACTGCATATTATTTTCACCTGGAAACTAGAAGGTTGCTTTGTTGGGAGAAGTAACAAATAACTATAACTAGTTACTTTTTCAAGTAAAAAGCACAACACTGGAGGTGAGCATGAAAACCTCTGGAAGATGTCTTATTGCCTGGTCATAGTGAAGAAGCTATTTAGCTGTGGAAACACAAAGTGGGGGAGTTTAATATTAGGATCAAATCATGTGCTACTACAGGCCCTTTTTCCCCAAAGAAAGCTGATATAAAAAGCAACAAGCAGGATATGGGGCTTAGTTAATGCAAACATTTACTGTAGGCTTTTAAATTATTCTCTGAATTCTGCACCTTAAACTTAGACCTATAAGATCGGGTGATATTTTTTCCTGTCTATAATCATCTAATTAGACTACAGACAGACTACAACACGCCCCCTGCCCCGGTGGATGAAGTTGATGCTGACTTCCTAAACGGACTAAATAACTTCTTTGGGAGGTTTGAGGCACTAAATCGCACTCCAGCAGTGAAGGCTGTCCCACATCAGGAAGAGGAGGTTCTCTGCCTTGACACAGCCGACGTGTGGAAGACTCTGAGGAGGGTCAACCCGCGGAAGGCCCCAGGTCCCGACAACATACCTGGGCGGGTGCTCAAGGAGTGTGCAGGTCAGCTAGCTGGTGTCCTCACGGACATTTTTAACACCTCGCTGGAGCAAGCCACAGTGCCAGCATGCTTCAAGTCTGCCTCCATCATCCCAGTGCCAAAGAAACCTCAAGTCACCTGCTACAACGACTACCGGCCCGTCGCACTGACTCCCATCATGATGAAGTGCTTTGAAAGGCTGGTAAAGGAACACATCGTCTCCAGTCTCCCCCCAACACTCGACCCGTTCCAGTTTGCCTACCGGCGAAACCGCTCCACTGAGGACGCCATCTCCTCTGCTCTTCACCTGAGCCTGGCCCACCTGGAGGAGAAGAACACCCACGTGCGGATGCTGTTCCTGGACTTCAGTTCAGCGTTTAACACCATCATCCCACAGCACCTGGTGGGAAAGCTGGAACATCTGGGCTTCAACACACCCCTTCGAAACTGGCTGCTGGACTTCCTCACCAACAGACCTCAGTCAGTCCGGGTCGGTCAGAACACCTCTGATGTCATCACCCTCAGCACGGGCTCCCCTCAGGGCTGCGTCCTGAGCCCCCTGCTGTTCACCCTGATGACATATGACTGCGTCCCCAGGTTCACCACCAATCACATCGTGAAGTTTGCGGACGACACCACGGTGGTGGGCCTCATCAGGGACGACAACGACCGGGACTACAGAGAGGAGGTGGAGCAGCTGGTGGACTGGTGCAGTGAAAACAGTCTGATCCTGAACGTGGAGAAGACGAAGGAGATCATCGTTGACTTCAGGAAAAACCGCCCCCACCATGCTCCACTGCTCATCAACAGCTCAGCTGTGGAGGTGGTCAGCAGCACAAAGTTCCTGGGGGTGCACATCACGGACAACCTCACCTGGACTGTAAACACTTCATCTCTAGTGAAGAGGGCACAGAAGGCTTGTACTTTCTGCGGAGGATGAGGAGAGCCCGCCTGCCCCCGCCCATCCTCACAACCTTCTACAGAAGCACCATAGAGAGCGTTCTGACCAGCTGTCTCTCTCTGTGGTGTGGAGGCTGCAGAGCTTCTGACTGGAAGAATGTGAGGAGGGTGGTGAGGACAGCGGAAGGAATCATTGGGGCTCCTCTTCCCTCCATTAAGGACATTTCATCACAGCGCTGTGTGTCCCGAGCCCGTAATATCATCAAAGACCCCTCACACCCCCACCATGGACTGTTCTCCCTGCTGCCCTCTGGAAAGAGGTTCCGCAGCATCCGCTGCAGATCCACCAGGTTGTGCAACAGCTTCTTCCCCACTGCCATCAGACTGTTGAACCTTTGATCCACAATCCGAACTCTGCACCTATTGCACATTATCGGGCATCAAATGCTGCTGAACTTTTAACTTTTAGCCCTTTAAATTGTTCATCTCATTGTATTTTTCAATAACGCATTTTTTGCACAAATGCCATTTTGCACTGAACCACTGCAACTTGCACACTGTCTCTTATCCTCTGCACTGTTCACACTTTGACCACTGCTGCACTTTTTGTATTTTTCTATAACTCGTGCCATTTGAAATATCAATGCAACGTTCATAAGCTGTATGTAACGCAATTTCGTTCTGTATGCACCCTGTGCATACAAAATGACAAATAAAGAAGTCTAAGTCTAAGTCTAAGTCTAATATTTTTGAACCCCTATGAAATGTAGCCTCAGTTTCATGTTTTTAGATCAGACAGTCAGGGACCGACAACCATTCTGTTTTAAAGAACAATTTCCCTTTATATTCATTATACTCTGGGCTCAGTTTGAACTTTGGTAAGATTTTTTCACCATATCTAGTTGGCTAATTGCACTGAATGCATTAGGCTGTTGAAATTGTTTTTAATACAAAATGTGTAAGAATAATAATAGAAGAGGTATGCCTAATAGAGCTACTGGTAAATAAGAAAAAAAAAATGTTTTCAACCTACTGAATATACAGCTCATATAATGATTGCTCCACCATAATACAAGATTTTAAAGCCTTTAACTGATCTTTAATAATGTTGCAAACAAAATGATTGGCACCATAAGAGTAAACTGCATAATTGAATTCTCTGAAATAAATAGCTTGTACAAATCAATACCAAGTTTAAACAATATTAAAGCAGTTTAACTAAGCACTCCAGTTGTTTAAAAAACAAGCCTATTATTTTGTTTAATTCTAAACTTGTTATTTTTATGCTCTATGCTTGGTATTTCTAAACCAGAGAAGTACATTTCCCAAGTTTCCAAAATTAATTACTTTCAGGCATCCATAAAATTCGTAAACAAGAGAGCTTTTGTTTACTCTCCAGCGAGATAATTGTAGTTACACTTACCATGCCTTTATTTATCAAATGTGCTTTTGGGCTTGAGTAAACACAGCACTAGGCTGACACCGTGTGGTCAATCAAATAAATGCATTTTGTTGAGTTAAACCAGTGGTTCTCAAACTTTTTCTGTCATTCCCCACTTTGGACAAGGGGGAATTTTCAAGCCCCGCCTGTCCCCATCGCCCCAACACAATGCTAATGAAATATTCAACAATCTTAAAATGTTCCAATTTTATTGAAGTAACAAGTAGTATCTAAATACAAATCTACATCAAATAACAGCAAGCTCAAAAATAAAGAAAATAAAAATGCAGCTGTGTCAAAATTTGTATCAAGCTCAAAGATAGAAAAAATTAAAGTGCCACTCTGCAATCTGTTAATAAAAGAAAAGAAGTGAAATCCATCTGGCAAGACAGGTCTATTTATCCCTGCATTAGTGGCTGCAATGAGCCTGTTTTGCATTGCAGTTTCTCAAAACGGGGTTGCAGGCTTGATACTGCCACTCTCAAGTCATGCTCAATGTTCTGCTGAGATCTGTATTTTGTTTTCATTGAAGCAGCAGCTGAAAAGCCCATCTCACAGAGATATGATGTGGCAAAGGGAAGAAGAATGCACACAGCTCTCTGCCCGATGAGTGGATACTCGCTCTCCACTCCTAACCAGAAACATGAACATGTGGCTGTGTGAATCAAACGCCGTTA